CACGGCAGCTGAATCCCCGCCGAGAGAGGAGGCGCAGCTGGCCTGGTGGATGGACTAGATTAGAAATTTCACAAGATCTTTAGATGTGTCGACTGTGTGGTTTCGAATCCTCCTCCGTGGCAGCGTTTGTCATTTGCGACCACATCCAACGGGGTTTAAAAAGCCGCAGATGCTGGCCTCGCTTCCACTGTGGAGGCGAAAAGGCCAAACCGACGCCTGGTCATTATTCACGCCTCTTGTCAAGTTGCTTCACCATCAGCTGAAATAATCCTAAACACATTTCTTTAAAAAGAATCAAAGCTTTATGAGGCAAAAGGAAAACAGCATTTTTTTTTCCTTCAGCTAATCAGGCAGCCACAGTGGAGCATATGTTTCCCTGGTTTTAGATATTTTCACGGGGACTCGGACTGAAGGACATAACAAGATCATTTGTAAGACGATCCTGTAAGCACGAGATCACAAGAGGGATGTTTGTATCATTGACGGTGTGGTTTGCAAAATCAGAAAATGTGAGAAATGGCTGAGGATCGTGTTGTCACCAGGAATGATTTACTGGTCTGTTTATGCAACATTTTAATGCTTTAACCTCTGATTTTAATTTCAATTCTGCTTCTCGTGACTCAGACATATTAGTCTGTAATGTGCAATCAACATATTTGCCATCTAAGTTTCGTGGTTTTTGAATGAGACAACGAAAGACTAGTACTGAAATGTACCTCATGGGGTGTATGGCATTACAAATCAACCAGAGGAAAGCAAAGTTCAAGGTGTCTTTTTTGTAAAGCCTATATGTCGTAGACAAAGCTGAGCTCAATTTAACATAAGTCTGAGATTTTGACCATTTCCAGCTCACGGAAGATTGCCTTCCTTTCATCTCAGTCTGGTGTAAATTAACATTCTTAAAATGATTAGTGCAGAGTTTGCATGTTGTGCCTGTGTGACACAAGCATAACAGGTAAATTGGTGATTCTCAGTTGGGTGTAGGTGGAAACACAAATGGTTGTTGAGCTCAGATCTCCTGGACGATGTGCTGTTGAAACCAGATGTTTGCATACTCTGTATAAAAAGACACATTCCTCACTGTCTGACATTAAATCAGACTAAACTTTTAGGTCAACTTGAATTACCAAAATTATTTCTATTTACCAAATGGCAGAATAATGAGAGAGAGAATTTGTTTTAGAGAATTTTTTTTTATTACTTTCTTCATAGTCAGAAGTTTACATCCACTAAGATGCCTTCCAACTATTTGAGAAAGCCCAGACGATGATGTCATGGCTTTGGAAGCTTCTGATAGGTTAATTGATAACATTTAAGTTAATTGGAGGCACACCTGTGGATGCATTTTAAGGCACACCTCAAACACACTGCTTCCTTTTGTCACAACATGGACAATCTAAAGAAATCAGCCAAGATATCAGGAAGAGAATTGTGAACCTCCAGTAGTCTGCTTCATCTTTGGGTACAACTTCCAGATGGCTGAAGGTTCCACATTCATCTGTTCAGACAATTATTTGCAGGTATAAACACCATCATGGGAATGTCCAGCCATCATAGTGCTCAGGAAGGAGACGGGTTCTGTGTCCCAGAGACGAAGTGTTTTGGTTGAAATGTGCGTCTCAACCCCAGAACAGAAGCTAAAGACTTGTGAAGATGCTGCTGAAGCTGGTCAGAGAGTCATTATCCACAGTGAAACCAGTCCTGTACCGACATGGGCTGGAAGGATACTCAGAGAGGAAGAAGAACTTTACTCCAGAAGCAACATAAAAAAGACAGATTACAGTTTGTAAATGCACACAGGGACAAAGAGTTTCATNGAAGGTTCCACGTTCATCTGTTCAGACAATTATTTGCAGGTATAAACATCATGGGAATGTCCAGCCATCATACTGCTCAGGAAGGAGACGGTTCTGTGTCCAGAGATGAAGTGTTCTGGTTGAAATGTGCGAATCAACCCCAGAACAAAAGCTAAAGACCTTGTAAAGATGCTGCTGAAGCTGGTCAGAGAGTCATTATCCACAGTGAAACCAGTCATGTACCAACATGGACTGAAAGGTACTCAGAGAGGAAGAACTTTACTCCAGAAGAAATATAAAAAAGCAGATGACAGTTTGTAAATGCACACAGGGACAAATAGCTTCATGTTTGGAGTCATGTCCTGTGGTCTGATGGAACTAAAACTGAACTGTTTGGCCTTAATGACCATCGTCACATTTGGGGAAAAAAGGGGGAAGCCTGAAGCCTGAGAACACCATCCCAACTGTGAAGCACAGAGGTGGCAGCGTCATGTAGTGGGGGTGTTCTGCTGCAGGAGGGACTGATGCACTTCACAGAATAGATGGCATCATGAGGAAAGAACATGGTGTGGAAATATAGAAGCAACATCTCAAGACATCAGCCAGGACGTTGGGCACTAATGGGTCTTCAGATGGACAATGACCCTAAACATACCACCAGATTAGTTACAGAGAGGCTTCAGGACAACAAAGTCAATGTTTTGGAGTGGCTATCACAAAGCCCTGATCTCAATCCTGGAGAACATTAGTGGGCAGAGCTGAAAAGGTGTGTGGAGCAAGAAGGCCAACAAACCTGACTCAGTTCCACCAGGTCTGTCAGGAGGAATGGGTCAAAAGTCCAGCAAACTATTGTGAGAAGCTTGTGGAAGGAAAACCAAAACGTTTGACTGAAGTCATACAGTTTAAAGGCAACGCTACCAGATACTAAGGAAATGTATGTAAACTTCTGACCTTGAAGAAAGTCTTTCTCTGTCATTATTTTGGTGTTTAGCAAATAGAAATAATTTTATTAATCCTAACTGACCTGAAACAGGAAAAGTTTAGTCTGATTTATTCTCAGAGAGTGAGGAAAAAAAAGTTATGTGTCTTATTATACTGTGTATGTAAAATTCTGGTTTCAACTGTACACATATTTCTGTCAATATTTTTTTAATCGAATTTTAGAAACACTTTATTTCTAGCAATACATTTAAATTGAACATTTCATCCTAATAAAAAGGAAATATTTGTAAAAGTATGTAACAGCCCCTGACTTTTTATGTAAATATAGATAAATAAAAACTTTAAAAAAGAAGAAGAAGAAAGTTTTAAATATAATATTAGCGTATGGTTATCTACAGGGTTTTACATATTATTTTTTATTAGACATCTAAATTCACTGCACATTTTTGTAATTTATTTTAAAAGTGGCAAAAACAAACAAACAAAAACCGGCTCCTGCTTTTCCTGTGTCTCTCCTGTTATTCTCAAGCTACACATGATAATTTGTCTCATATTGATTTATTTCTGTTGCTCCTTGTTATTACTGAGAAGGTGGGAGTGGAAGATGATTTGTTTTGGGTGAGAAAAGGAACCGAGAAGAGAGAAAAAGAACAGACGATTGTAAACAGCAAAATTTTCCTCTGGGTTGTACAAAAGCAGCCACCAGTCAAATTTTGCTTAACATTTGAAACACATAATATCTTAAAAAGTTAACAGACATTTCAGTATTTTATCATTTATTTGAGAGAATTTGCTTGTTGCTTTCTTAATTTCCACACAGGCTCAGCTGCACAGCTGGAAGAGTTCCCAGGTTCAGCTGGAAACCCCCTCAGGCCGACCCGAGTCTTTGTCCCTCTCTGCTCTGCTTCAATCGATGCATTTGACACGGTGAAACCAGCAATATGTAACTTGTAGTCTGGGTGGGCTGTAGCCTGAGGGCCTGTGGTGTTTGTCTCCATCTGTTGGAATAACAGAGATATATGCAGGATGAAGCATCATGATGTGGACACAAACTCACACAGCTTCATCATACATTGTTAATGGTTTTAGAAGCAAGACCCACGTTTTTATAGTCAGATGGATTTGATTGATTTTTATTTATTATGAGTATTTTTAAAACTGATTTTATTTATTGATTTCTCATGTTATTTACCTGTTTACATATTTTAGTCTAGTTAATGTATCAGTTATCAGTCTACTTTCAAACATTATTTTCTTATTCTTTTCTGTCCTTATTTATCGATCTATATCTTATCTATAGATATTTAATTTTAATTTTAATTTTATTTTATTTTATGGGTTGCAAGGTGATGCAGTGGTTAGTGCTGTTGCCTCGCAGCAAGAAGGTCGCCGGTTCGTGTCCTGGTGAGGACACCCAGGATCTTACTACGTGGAGTCTCCATGTTCTCTCTCTCCGGGTTCTCCGGCTTCCTCCCACAAGATCCAAAATCCTACTGAGGTTAATTGGTGATTCTAAATTGTCCGTAGGTGTGAATGTGAGTGTGCTTGGTTGTCTGTCTCTAAGTGTAGCCCTGTGATAGACTGGTGACCTGTCCAGGTGAACCTGCCTTCACCCTGAGTCAGCTGGGATAGACTCCAGCCCCCCATGACCCTAGTGAGGATTAAGGTGTATAGATAATGGATGGATGGACGGATGGATTTTATTTTACTTCAACTGATGTTTCCTTATTGAATGCTATATTAAAAGTGTTATATAAATAACGCCTGATTGAGTGATTCAATCATACATGAGTAAAATCATGCTGATAACCATAAAGTCATACAATGCTGCAGCTTTCCTCTACAAAACTTTGTGACTCTCCAAAATGAATCCCATGTAATATCATGTGATATTTATGATGTGGTTTATTGTTTTGTTGTTGTTGTTGTTGTTGTTTTATATCTTTATATTAAATATTCAGTGAGCTTTTGAATTGCCCCTAGGAGATAAATAAAGTTATTTGAACTGAATTGAATTGAAAAAAAAAATCAGATTGTGGTTGAAATAAAGAGGAACAACTATGACTTACAGGTGTGTGTATTTTTTGTCTTTATTTATTTATTTTTTGTTTAAAGCAAAACTAATTAAATAAATATGAGAGTTAATTATATATTGTTGTAGACTTGGAAAAGGGTTGTCACTGTTATGAGTGATACCGTCTAAAATGCCTTTACTCTCGTTAGGCGGAACTGTTCTTTTGGGGGACTTGTGGGGAAGGATATTTTGGTCGGACTCGTTTGTTGCTTACATCTTACAGGACTGAAACTGCTCTGGTGAGTGTTTTCATCATTTAGTTGAGCTCCGTGTCGTTATTGTACGAACTAATCAGCCGATACGTTCGATTATTAGCATTAAATTCACGTTATGTTGCTGCCGCGTCGCTCAGTAAAAGACGAGCCGTTAAAACGTCTGTGATTGTGAGGCCTGGCCAGCTAACGTTAGCCGCTAGCATCATTCAACAACATTCGCCCGATGACAGCGAGCTAGCAAGGCGGCTAACAACAGCAGCAGCAGCAGCAGCACAGCAACTTCCTCATCGCTCACAGACACTTATTTATGTCTTTGTCGTGTCTTTGTTCCTCTTTGTCCACTGTACTGCTTATTTTTCGTGGGCCTTGTTGTCATAAAGTCTTTAAAAAACGCGAGCTAACGTTAACTCTAAGTTAGCTCAGTGTGCGCTAGTGTTCCTGGTGTGAAGCCAAGCAGCCTGAAATTACGTCATTTCAGCCTTAAGAGAAATCAACTGATCCGTAAGTGTCGCAACCAGCTGCTGCTCTGATCCAGTAGTCCTGCTCAAGGTGAACAGGATTTAAAGGTGCATCATGATTCAAGTATGCGTTATTATCAGAAGCAGTCTTCACATAAACAGATGGTGAACATTTATTTTTGTTGCGTTTTGTTTGTAGTGAAATCTTGAATAGAAAAAGCTGTTTACCAGCTAGACAGCACTGTACTCACTTTCTGCATGGAAGCTGAGGAACCAATATTCATAAAGCTAGAAGTTCACACAGTCCTGTCCCCTCATCGCTCGTTGCTGTTAAGTAAACCATTTACAATAAGCAGCATCTTCACCCTCCACCAGATTTGTTTACTTTCTGGAGCTGCTTCTTTTAAATCTAAAATGTCTCAACCACGAGCAAAACTCACCAGATGTTCTGCTGTTGGCTGCAAGAGTGAACACATGAGTTCATGCACTCCCAGCATCTGAGGAAATGAAGACACAGTGGATTGCTTTTAGTTTTGTTGGCAATATTACACAACAAATCCTTAGTGTTGGCATGATGTGCGGCTAATGTGGCTAACGTTACCATTGGCAGTGATGCCCACAGGTAAAAGGTTTGTGGTAACAAATAATGCTTAAATCGAAACCAATAAACAAGGACTGAGTGGTTTTCATGCCGCCTGTTGTGCCTCAACTCAGCCGGTTTTCTATATACTGCATTTTAATACAGCCAAATTCCCCAAAGTGCTGCTCTCATTGACATATTTTCCTTTACCTGTCATCAGACAACAGAGCGAGTATGAAATGATGACTCAAAGCAGCCCATTCAGACTACATGTTTACCTGCAGTCACTTCAGAGCTGTTTCCAAGCTGCAGCTCAGCACCACTAAACTACAGATTTTACAACAACATTATCTGACAAACACACGAGGTGAAAACAACAGCTGTGAATTCAGTCGTACTTCCAAGTATAAATGATCACTCAGAGAAAGTTCGAAGCAACAGAAAGTCCTGGTGTTGCACACTCATTCACATCTGTGTCGACTGCTGTCCAGTTAACTTCTTTGCTGCACGCTGTCAATCACAGATGCAGAGAGGGTCTTCTTCCTGAAGGGGGCGTGGACAGTAGCAGCTCAGCTACACTTAAAGCTACTAAAACAGCTTGTTTACAACACAGGGCTAAAACCAGGAGTTATGCAGTCATGGTGAACTCTTATTGTTGGATATTGAACCTCAACATTTAAAGGTACCAGCTGAAGCCTGTTGGTGTTGAATGCTTGGTTAGTTTCTTAAGTTTGTGTATTTATTTCTTCATTTTCTTTTTTATATGTGCTCTCCATGAAAAAGGTGGAATATAAAATGTGTTGTAATTCCTACACCGTTCACCTGATTTGGATGTAAATACTCTCAAATCAAACCTGAAAGTCTGCACTTAAAGCACATATTGATTGTTTCATTTCAAGTCCATTGTGCTTATTTGGAAATTGTGTCAGTGTCCACATATTTATGGACCTGACTGTAAAAAGCCGGAGCAGGCTTCCAGTAACATCCTTTCTCTCCTTTCACTAGCAGGTGGAGGGATGAGTCTCTCCCCTGTCATTGGCACAGAGGTGCCAGAAACAGCTAACGGGGTTGTGACACCTGTTGCTTTGGAGAACGGCCCTCATGTTCCCGTCTCGGTGAAATGTGGGGGCAGCAGATTACCCGGTCCTGAGGAGGAGGCAGTGGACGGGACCCTCGGACACACGGAGAACCACGTTGACACAGAAAACAGAGCGCATGATGTCAAAGAACGCTTGTACACAGAGATGGACGTTAACGAGAGAATATCTAGTTTATCATTACAAGCCGAGCTCACTGCTGCGACGGGCACGGGAGACTCAGCATCCAAAGAAACAGACATTCCTGAGTCCTCTAGGACTCTGGATCCTCCTGATGCGGTTCTCCTGTGGGACTCGGCGCAGTGCGGACAGTCCAAAGAATCACCTCAGCGTGGAGGTGACGCCAACGCAGAGGCTGTAGATGGAGGCACCGACAGCCGAGAGGACGAGGAAGACGGCGAGAAGGAGAAACAGGATGAAGAGGAGGACGAGAAGAATGAAAACAAGTGGAGGAATCAGCATGCGGGAAGGAGACCAGAGGCGGAGGTTGGTGAACTGCGTGGTTCTATTAGATTGTGTTTATTGGAGAGAGTGGAGGTCAATGTGGGAGTTAGAAGAAGTTAACACATGTAATGAGGACAATCTCTACTAAAGCAACAACAGACAGGATGATCAGAGTTTGTCCAGTAGATAAACATGAAAGTCAGACCACAAGCTGTCTGTATGTGGAGCTCTTGAGCTGCTTTCATAATGATTTGTCTTAAGTTATTTGTCTAAAATTCTAATTTTACTTGTTTTCATGATTTTTTTCTTCACCTACATTTCTAGTCTTCACGACACTACTCCTCCTCAGCCCCTGGTCCAAGCACCTCCTCTTCTTCGTCTCCTCCACCTCCACTTCTTCCCTCCGACGACACCCCCTGCCCTCCTCACATCATGGCCCAGGTTTGGGTTCGCAACGTCCGGGGGATGCAGGACAGCAAGAGTCTGGATGAAATCAGCCAAGCGTGTGGAGGTAGCGATCAGCCAAATAAGCTTTACCATGTGGTTCCTGTAGTAACTTTTTCCTCTCCTGCTGAAATAAAGAAACATGTAAAATCCTGTTTAATTAAACAACAAAGTAAAATAAAAAGCAGTGGAAATTATTACTGCAGCCTTGGGAATAATTATAGACGACCTGCTGTTTTAATCACAAAGTCTGAACAGGCCTTCAGCACTGATTATTTAGTTTGAATTTCATCATAGCGGTTAAATGATCACAGCAACTTCTGAAAGACATGAAACAAAAAAGGCTAATAATGTGATTCATGCAGTCGGTTAATGTTTAAAAATAGAACGTCTGGAAAAAATGTCCAAATTCACACCAGTGGGCTGAAAACATTTTTGAGTAACTCAACAATCAGGAAAAGAAGAGAACTGAGACATGACGAAACAACCGTGATGCTTATGAAGACAGATGGAGCTAACTAGCTTGAAGTTAGCAAAACAGCTGTTCATTAGAACAGTGCAGTATTATGGCTCCACCAAGACTTGCAAAGGACTAAACAGAAAACGGTGGTCT